ATATTTTTGCAGAGATGTCAAAAATTCTTCTGGAGCAAAACTCTACCAAATTTCAAAAGCTGTTTTTTTCATCCAAGAATTATAGACCAAGCTGATCAAAATGGGAAAAAAGCTCCTAAGCCCAAAGCTCTGGGTTCTGGTTAAGCCCAGAGATCGATGCCCTCAGCTGACAGCCTGGAAGTGAAGTTTTCAGCTGCCTCTCCCTGACATCCCTGGTACCCCCCAGTTTCTGCAGGAGCTGCAGCAGAGCTCTCAAAGACAATTAATTCCCTTCCTGAAGGGATTTTTGCTTTTTGGGAGGGCAATGACTCTGGAGGTGGAGAAAAAAAACAACAACGTAAAAGTTTGGGACAAGCATCTTAAGGAAACTGAACTGCTCACAACTGAAAATACCTGTGATTCCTCCACTTCCCTCAGGTTTGGGGCCACCAGGGCACATGCAATTACTCCTGAGTTTTTTTTATTGTGCTTCCGTGTCCACAGTGGACAGCACCTGAGGCCTGGAGTGAGCAGCAGCCCTGGGTAACCCCTGGCCAGGCAAGCAGGTGCTGCTGGCCCCCAACTGCAGCACAAACCCCCCTGGATGTGCCCCAGTCCAGCCCAACTGACACTGACTTCCCTAACGCTGGGACATCTCTGCTGTTCAGCTGAACTCACCAGGCCCCTGCCTGCAGCCCCTGCCACGTTTGCCAGCTCTGCTGCATGTTCAGTTTATGAAGAGATGGAAGGGGAGCCAGGCATGGCCATGGGATGGACCTGGGGGGCAGAGCACCCACTGCTCCAGGCTGAGGATGCCTCCCAGGCTGCTCAGGATCGGGCACCATGTGTGAGCAGCACATCTAGGGATTCAGATGAAGGGCAAAGCAAGGATTTCCCTTCAGAAAGGAAATGAAGCAAGGGCAGAAGAAAGAAGAGCAGCTACAATTCTGTGTCACTGATGGTGCACGGAAAATGGCATGTGAAGACCAAGGCTCTAAGGAGGATTTTCTCTCCTCCCTGGTGGCTCCAGCCCTCTCAACTGCCAAAAACACCAACCAGTTTGCTTTGCTGAGGAACAAGGTGGGAGCTGAAGGGAACCCAGGAACAATTCTTTGCTGGAGAACAAGGAACCCCTTCCTCTGCAGCAGCACACAGCGAGGGCAAGCAGCCACAAAGCATCAGCCAACCCACCTCCAGAAAGGACACTGCACAGCTGAAAGGATCAGATAGAGAGCAACAAAGAGCCAAAAGGGTTCTGTCCCCATGAGGAGAGCTGAAAAGGACATGTGCCTTCTTCAGGTAAAAGATAAGAGAGGCAGCAGCTCCTGTGGGAGTCTGGCAGCACCAGAAGCAGAGCTTCTTTACTCTTTTCCCTCCCTAATTCCTGACACATTTGTTCCAGGCATCTGCCCATACCTACAATTACTAGCCATGCCAAAGGATTTTGGTTAATGCAATTAAAAGGGAAAGATTTTATTCCACCTACAAATCTTCTTTGGCTCACAGCTACAGGACTGTGGGGTGAAATCTGGCCCTGGAGAAAGCCAGAGAACAAAAAGCCCAGCACTGCTCTTGTGCCAAACACTGCAGGCTGGAGGTGCTGCTGCTGAGAGATGCTCCATTGCCTGGCCATGATACTCTGCTTGGAAAAAGTGCTGTGAGTGAACAAGCTTTTGGGGCAGGGAGGGTCATTTTGGCAGAGGAGAGCAGGGATGGTGGCTGGATGGCACAGGGATGGGCACACACAGGCAGCTCTGGGGTACAGGAGGGGTGTGGGATGCAAGGAAGGGGCCGAGTGTGTTTGAAGACAAGTAGTTGTGTCCTGGTGCCCTGGACAGGGAAGGGAGAACCTGGGAAAGGACTTAGAGCTGTAGCTGAGCAAAGTGGGCAGTGGAGTGGGGGATTCTCCCCATGTAAAAAAAATGTCAAAAAGAAACAAACAAAGTAAGTTTTAAGGGAAAGAAAGAATTCATGGCTTCAGGTCAAATTCTGCAAATATTTTTAGCCAGAAGAGGAGGGGTTCTAAAACACCATTTCTAAATGTTAGAAGATATTTACTCTGCAATTGTCTAGAGATGAGAATTTGTTAGCTCCTTTCCAGCAAGGATGTCTCCATTTCAAAAAGCAGCACAGCAACATCAGAGGGGTTAAGCAACTCAGACAAAATCTGCCAGGTTGGTTAGGATTATTTTGTTTCACTGAAACATCCCAACATGGCTGTTTCAGTTTGACTGAAACAATTTTCCTCTTCCCCGTGGGATTTATTTGGTTCAGCCACACAACTGAAAAATCCATTATTAGCCTGGCTGTAATGCAAACTTCTGCTGTGTGTGCCTGCCCAGCCTCTCAGGGTGCTTAAATAGCCCTGAAATAGTATTAAATAATATGGCACACTCAGTTCTCAGTGTCCCTCCAGAGGTTTCCATGGGGAACTGGTGGATGTGACAGGGACACTTTGCAACAACTGTGTTAATTATTGTAATTGCCAGATAGTGCTGGGTACAAATAATTTCTGCAAGTATTTAATACTTCAGGAGTTGTTACCAGACTCTGCCCTGGTCTCCCAGAATGAGTGTTTTAGTGAGAAAATATTTCCCTAGGGTCTCAATTCCTACAAATTGATGACCAGCTTTCCCTTTCCACAGTACAAACCTCCTTCCAGGAACAAGCTCCTCACCCATCCCAGCACTGCGGAGCATCTTGGGAATAGCCATGCTGAGGAGACAGCTCCAACTCAGCCTTGCTTGGAAAACCCTAGTACAGTGGAGCAGCATTTTGCCAGGGTACTTATATAACCTCCTCTACCCTCTTGATCTTGGCTGTAGAAATAAGAGCAGCCTTTCAGTACCAGTCCCTGACTCTCCCGTTGCCGAAGCAATGACCAGTCCCTTGCCCTGCACTCCCAGCAGGAGAAACCCTCTTCCTTTCAAAGTTCACCTCAGAGAGCAAGGAAAAGGGCCTCAATGCCAAGACCAAGTTTAATCCAAACTTTATTCTTCAGACCAGCCTAGGATGAGGCTCCTGGATCTCCATGTACAGCTGAAGGGGCCTGTGTGTGTCCAGCTAGGAAGAGCACATAGGAATAAAAGTGTTTGAGCAAATGGGATAAAAGATTTGGCCTAAGATGGGGTGAAAAAGCAATGTTGGGAAAGGATCCCAAAGGAAGGTAAAACTGCCCCACAATGTCATTTGACTGACCTAAAGGTGAGTCAAGCAAACCTGCTCGAAACCAGGATTATGAAAAAAAAATTAAAATAAAGGGCATGGAGGAAATACTTGCTATTTTGTCAGTTAGCAAAACCACTTCCCTTCTGCAGACACTGAGTCGATCCCTGGAGCATTTCTGATCTGCTGCTCTCAGATTCCAGAGAGGCAGAAACCCACATCATCAGGGTCAACATCCTCAGCCAAGTGCTGCAAAAAGCACTAGTGGTAGAAAGGAAGAGAGCCCTGATGAGCAGCCTGTGCTTGAGCAGCCTGTGCTGGGTGGTGGGATTAAACCAAAACATCAAAAATCCAACCTGCTTCTGTAGCTGCTGCTGTGCCCCAAGTCCCCATCCCGAGAAAATCCCGAAGGAAGGACAGGAAGAGGCACCAAAGGATTATCTGGAGCCACCTCTGAGCCCAGGCAGTGGCTGGGAAGGTAAGCAACTGGTTTCAGGGATGCTGAAGCGACTGGGTGGGCTCTGCCCCTGCTCCCTCCTGTGCAGCCCAGGGCTGCAGCTCAGCTCTCACTGTGTCCTGTGGAATTTCCATGACCCAGGCAGCCACGCAGCATACGTGCATTTCCACTACTAGTTTTAATAATCTGCCTGATGACTAATTAGCATTTGCCCAACAAATGAGAGTTCTCTTATGCAAGGTGCCAAAACAGGGGGAAGGGTGGGGTTTTTAAAGTCATTTTGGGGTGAATTCATCACTTGTGCAAGGGAGATGCCAGAGGAGAGCAGAATCCAGGAAAGCTGCAGCTTATGGAGCTCAGCCCGATGTGCCCCAATTCCCCACAGCCTCCACCTCTGATCAGTCCCCCTGAGCAGCTCTGGACTCCCCAGGGGGTCTCCATCTACGTCTTGATCTCAGGGAGGGACAACAGAGACAGGAAGGAGACTGAGACTATCAGACTCAGGTCACTTGTAAGGCAAAGCTGGGGTTTGGGTGTGCTTAAGCTTCAGGAGCGGCTGTACCGACTGCCTGCTGAAGTGCCTGGGAAAGACACTCATTCCATTTTGCCCCAGTATGTTGCACTGCCCCATGAATTCAAAGGGAACTGATTTATGTCTTTGATACTGCGCTTGGATGAAAGTTTAAACTGAACAATTCTGAAAACTGAAGTGTGAAGCCCTTCTCCTTTCAGTGTGTGCACACAGAGCTGACGCTGCCGGGGCTGCTCGCTCTGCCGGTGAGTGCTCGGAAGGTGAAGAACACAGACAAGCACTGAAACATGGTTTCAGTACATGTAACAAACTGTGCTTGCAGTCCATTCATTATAGCCCTCTAAAAACTGGAAGACAGCTGAGTTAGTCATATTAAGACCTATTTAAGATTACTTTCAGCCTTTCTGAAAGTAGTGTCCTGAGTTCAGGAAGAGATGAGTTGTTACAGAACAGCCTGCAAAGCTACTTCTCTAACAGGCTGGGAAGCAGGAGAGAGTGGTTGCTCCTATATTTAATTACCTGGAGATGTCCAGACACCACAACTAAAGTCACACCACAATAACCACAACGGGGGGCTGTATAAATACCTACATAGATTAGCTACAGCTATCCCAAGCACACCACTCCAGCACTGCATAGTCCCCCCAAGGAAGCCACTGACCCTCCCAAGACAAACATCCTCAAGAAACTGAGCTCCCAGGTATATCCTGAAGTCAGGAGCAGGATACTGAAAAACCTGACCCCAGTGAGTGCAAAATCTTTGGTGCTTCCATTACCACCTGTGAGCAGCCAACCTCTCATGGCAGCACCAGAGCTGAGAAGTTCCTGCAGGGAATGTGGCACCCTGTGTCCACTCCAGTCTCTTACCTCAGTGGGATCTTGATAGCCAGGTACCTGTCGATGGCCACGGCCAGCAAGCTGAAAATGGAGCTTTGGGTCAGCACCAGCACGAAGCAGGCGAAGAAGAGGCAGCTGTGAAAATCCACCTGGAACCCAATGCTGATGGTGATGGCAAAAGGGATGGCCAAGAGTCCCACGGCGATGTCAGCCACCGCCAGGGACACCAGGAAGTAGTTGGTCGCGTTCTTCAAGGTGCTGTTGATGGCCACGGCCCAGCAGACCAGGACGTTGCCGGCAATAGACAGGATGGCGATGATCAGTTCCAGCACGATGTAGGTGGTTTTCATAGTGTCCATGGCGAGAGCCCAAGGTGAGGAGCTAGAAGCGTTCATGAGAAAAAGGTACTTTCCACCGGGCACCCGTCCGCAGGTACCAACAGGCCACGGGGCAGCAGAGCCCGGAG